ATGTTGGCCAGGCTGGTCTTGAACTCTGGACCTCAGGAGATCTGCCCACCTCAGCCTCCCAAAGTGCTGGGATTACAGGCCTGAGCCACCATGGTTGGCCTCACGCCAAACTTTCAATGGCTTCCCACTACACTCCAAACAAAATGCAAACCTTTTCAAAGCCCAGAGAGTCCCACACAATCATCTCATGCTGCCCTCTCTCCTTCATCTTGAACATCTGTGCCTCTTTGAGTTCTCCCCAAAACCAAAGTCCTTCTGCACAGGCTCCGCTCTGCTTCATGTGCTGTCTCCCCCGACCCCCAAACTTCAGAGAGGCCTTTCCAGGCTACTCTAATGAAATCCATCCAAGTCACTGAGTACTGATCACAACTGGCAAGTTATATTTCTTTACATGTCTGCCGTGGTAAGGGTAGGGGTATAGGTAGAGGGAGATGATTATTTCTCTTTTAATTATCAGTGTATTTCTGGAGCTTTAACACAGCGTCTGACACATAGTAAGTGCTCAATAAGAAGCTGCCGCATGTATGAAAGAAACCAGGGCTGCTTATAGCATTAAAAAACCCTTGTTCTGCGGCCAGGTGCTGGGGCTCATGCCTGTAATCCCAGCACTTTGGGAGGTCAAGGCAAGTGGATCACTTGAGGCTAGGAGTTCAAGACCAGCCTGGTCAAAATGATGAAACCCTGTCTCTACCAAAATAAATTCAAACAAACAAACAAACAAACAAAATAGCTGGGCATGGTGCTGCATGCCTGTAATCCCAGCTACTTGGGAGGCTGTGGCAGGAGGATCACTTGAACCTGGGAGGCAGAGGCTTCAGTGAGCTGAGATCCAGCCACTGCACTCCAGCCTGGGTGACAGAGTGAGACTCTGACTCAAAAAAAAAAAAAATCCTCGTTGTTTGAGCCCAGAGTTATCATTGTTATTTAAGCACACGAGTTCTTTGTCCCCTTCCTGCTCTACCAAACATTTTAAAAGAAATGTTTATGTTGCTAAGCCAACACCCCAACAGCTCAGCATATGTCACCCCATGCCAGCTCATTGTCTTCCATGAGGAAAAACCAAGAATCATCTGTTTCTTCAGTAAACCCAAATTACTACAAGCAGCGACTCTGAGAACTTAAAATTCTTAGAAAATATCACAGAGGCTTTTTGCTGTGTTTTCTTTAGCGCAGAAGAAAAGATTTACTAAGAGAGCCTTGGGGTCAAACTCACGTTACTGAGACTATACTATTCCTTAAAGATGCGCACAGCATCCTTGTGGCAATGCATGAAACTGGAATGCGGCTGTTCTTGTCCTCCTCTCTCCACAAAAGGAATCAGCTATATGTCAGTTCTCCTATTTTGTTTGTTTCCCTCCAACATGCAAATTCGGAAATATCATTAATCCACAAGATCCCAGGTGATTCTAGTCCTCCCTCCTCCCTCAGCCACACAGAGAGGTGAGAAATAAAATAAGCTGAATTCCAGCTGCCTTTAGAGAAGGACCATGAACATCCACTTACACTGCCTGGGGTATGAGCCACTTGCCTAGATCCTTACTTTTCTGTTTTTGTTGTTGTTTTTGTTTTTGTATTTTTGAGACGGAGACTCGCTGTGTCGCCCAGGCTGGAGTGCAATGGTGTGATCTCGGGTCACCATCACCTCCACCTCCTGTGTTCAAGCAATTCTCATGCCTCAGCCTGCCAAGTAGCTGGGATTACAGGCACCCACCGTCATGCCTGGCTATTTTTTATATTTTTGTAGAGACGGGATTTCACCATGTTGGCTAGGCTGGTCTTGAACTCCTGACCTCAGGTGATCCGCCTGCCTTGGTCTCCCAAAGTGCTGAGATTACAGATTTGAGCCACCGCACCCGACCCTAGATGCTTACTTTTCATGCCAATGTCCAAAGTCAATAAAAACATCAAGAGCTTCTCCCAAAAATGCCCATAGCAAAATATAGAGAATTCTGGGGATAAAAATGACACAATATCATTATCATGAAGCTTATCACAAATATTCAGCCAAATCCCAATTACCCACAGAAAGTGGGCAAAGCCACACTGGGCTTTCTGGCCTCCCACTTCTCCCCAAAGCTACCTCCTCCTGCTGCATGGGAATAAAGAGCTCAATTAGCCTTAGACTTGACCAAGCACTAAACAAGTTCACCAGCTGGCTGGAGAAGACACTTCTAAGATGAACAAAAATTATTTTTGGTGCCTAGGATATGTACATGCTCTACTCTCTATTAGCACATAGAATTGGGAATTTTTTGTCCAAGACACTGGCAGACTTTTATTCTTAAGAATTTCCTTGTGTTTGATGGTCAAGATCACCAGGCCACTCAAGAGTCCTTTCTGGAATACCAAGGATCAAATCCACTTTCTCCATGAGAAGACAAAAACAGAAGTTCATTAGCTCACCCAAGTCCATGAAGCAACTGGCCGTTGGCTCAGGAAGAGAGTGTCAAGACCTCTGGAGACCTCACTTACAAGACATAGAATTTCAGAGCTGGAAGGGAACGCATGGATCAAACCACGCACTTTTGAGATAAAAAAAAATCCAAAGCCAAGAAATGGCTAGGAATTGGTACCTTCCCCACCTTTCTTTCCAGTGATGTTTTCCCCAGCCTTGAGCATCAAACCAGCTTTAAGTTCTTTGTCACTTTACAAATACCATAAACTTAAGCCAACTAGTGAACACAAGGCAATTTTAACACTTCCTGGCAAATCAACTTCATGGAAATCTAATGTGATTGGTTATTATGACCAACCCACCCATTAAAGAAGGAGAAAAAGAAAATTATAAACAAGGTTTGTTTTTTGTGACCACACATTTTATTATATAAGCAGTAAAGAACACTACAGTCTGTCTCCTCTTTTACACTTTAAGTTCCTTACTCAACAAAAACCACAGGCCCAAGCTAGTTAAAGGAGGCAAAACTGAGTACTTTCCGCACAGTTCATAGAACAACTGTTTTCACAGCAAGCTCACATAAATGCTATGTGATAAAAACACATGCCTGCTATGTGGAAGCCTGCTTACCAAGCTGTGAAAAGACCCATGTTTACTATGGAACCTGCAAAATTAATCTTCTCATACAGCAGAAGGGAAATGCTCTTTTTGGGATGTCAAGCTGCTTTCTAAACAATCCTTTGACGAAAATGGACATGCCTAAAAGGGCGGAGCCCAAAGAGGTGTGTCACTCTGGGTATCAATTCCTATAAATCAGATCCTGACAATCACCACAATATTTTAAAAAGAATGAATTACGATTCATGGGCCTTCAAACCTTTATTACTACAAAAACATTCTTGGTAGAAGAGAAAAAAACCTACTCTGACTTGATTAATGGCCAAAGCAAGACAATAAAATAAACCTCATAAATATAAGGAAAGAAACCTGAATGACTGCTCTTGGCTCTGAGGCTAAGCATGTAAATAATTCCACCCTGGAATGAACATACATAAAGATTTTGTTTACCCTCCCAGCAAATACAACAAGCAGACTCAGATTTTCGTCGGGTAAAAATAATAGCTAATTTGTTTAACTAATGCCTTGTTAGGAACATTTGATAAGCAGCAATAACATTTAATTCCCAACCAACTCAACTCTAAAATATCAACCCTCAATCTGGAAATCTGACGACAGTGGGGGGGGGGGTGGAAAAAAGCACTATCCATCAGCAACGTGCAGAGCGTTTTTTAAAACCCATTTTTCTCCCCTGCTAGAGCAGTGCCTGTCTACAGAATTGCAGAAAGCTTAACCAACCTTGGTTAACCCCACTGCCTAGTGGCTACTCCCTAACCCTACTAAACGTCTCTGGGTTGGACCCGAGATGCTAAAATTATCCTAGCAAAGTTAAAGCTCAAGGTAGCTGACAGCCAAGACCTACAACTCTTCTGCAGAAATCAGTAGGCTGAGGACCAAGAAAACAGAGACAAGGAGAGGCAAGGGCTGCTGGTTAACTAGTTAAGCGCTGAGGACTCCTGCTGTTATCCTCTCCAGTCAGTGGGCATCAACACACTTACTATCGCCAAACTCCTTTCTTAAAAGGTCAACGATGCAGAAGGTGGGTGTTAACTGGGACAGCTTAAAACTCCCCTTCTTAAAGCTCTCCTCCACGACCTGCTGAAAAGCGCACCTGGACGGTTTTCAGGAGACATTTTTTAATGAACTCTTTAGCCACTCCCAGGGCGGTCATTCCTAAGCACGACTTCCATGCGCTTCACAAGACAGCCCAGGCCACGCTGACTTGAAGCCACCCGCTTCAGCACGGACACTTGCCAAAGCTGCGTCTAGTCTGGGGAAGAGTTTCCACAAAGCTGCTCTAACAGGCCGGTGGAAGGCACACGGAGGAACCAGAAAGCGTATTCTTGTAACCTAAGGATGGCAGGCGCACATGCTCCAGTCCAGTGCTGGCCAGAGGCTGCCTGCCAGGTGCTCTCGGCCTCCACCAGTGAATGGGTGGTTTGGTTTGGTTTTTAATGTTTCTTCATACCACCGGCAGTAACTTCCCTGTCTCCCAAACTGAAGTTGGGGAGTGAAGGAACAGGTTTACCCCCTTACACGTTTCTCCCATCTAGGTGGTCACACTAACTTCTGGGGAATACCCAGCCCCCACAGAGCCCGCTAGCGCGTATACATACACATATGCATCATGTCAAAAACCCCAAAAGGCAGAGTCCTGCGGTTTCTTAGCTGGAGAATGAAGCCTTTATAACATCACAGCCTCAAATGAAAGCCCACCATCACTACCCTTTAAGCCGGGGTTGCCAATTATAGCGCCCACCTCACCCCTCCCCCTTTGCTGGGATGCTGGGCAGCCCAGAGAGGGGAGAGGGAAGAAGGGAAGCAGGGAGAAGGCCTGCTTGCATAGTGAAAGTAAAGGGGGGGAGACTTCTCCTTCTCTGTCCCCCGCCCCACTCTTCCCTCCCCACTCCGCCCCACCCCCGTCTTCTCGAGGAGCATCCCCAAACTAATTTTTTTTTAAATGAAACTTAATAAGCTTCTTGCCTACCTTGGCTGTTTCTGCAACAAGTGCATGGACAATCCGACGAAAAGACCAGTCTCCGCTTGGGGGTTGGGATGGGGGGCGAGCAGAGCTGATGGAGTAATTTCAATATTAATTTATGTCAGCCGCCTTCTCGCAGCGCTACTCACTTACAGTACTGCCCTCAGCCTGTAAACAAATATCGCTCCGCCAGGAAACATACTCCCAGATGCAAGCCCCTGTCCCCAGCAGGGAACCTGGCCCCTGCCCACCCCCACCCCCGCAATAACAGTGTGCTCCCCAGCCCGGGGTAGGAAGCTTTGGGTTTCCAAAGCATCAACCCACCACCTCCTCCACCACCGCAGCAAGAAACTTACTCCGTCCGTCTACGCCTCCACCCTCCCGTCAGGAAATCTACTCTCCATATGCATTCAGCCTCCCCGCAGGAAATCTGCTCCCCCCTCCCCCCTTCTATATACATGCACCCCTCCCTCTCCTCCTCCCCATGCGCCCTCCCCGCCCAGAAACTTACTAGTGAGCAAGCGTGCAGGCTCTCCCGATGCTGGAAACTTACTCCCAGATATAGCGCCCGCCAGCCCCCTTTCCCAGCCCTGCTCCCCTTCCTGCCCTCCGCCGCAAGCAACTCCAAACTCTCCGCATCCAGCCGCTCTCCCTCCCCGGTGGAAATTTGCAGCGCCGGGCTGCGCGCGTGCATCCACCCTCCCCTTCAGGAAACTTACTCCCCATCTGCATGCACCGCCTCTCAGCCATCGCTTAGAGGGAAGGGGGTGTGCTGGGGAGACAGAAATACATATGTATCTCTCGCCCCTCCCCCGGCCGCAGCCCACTCGGGGCCGAGCCGCGGCAACCTGGCCTTACCTTTTGCATTGCTCCCCATCCTCGCCCCCTCCCTTAACCCTCCTTATCCGCTGCTTGGTACCCCCCTTTTTTCACCCATTACCCACCCCTAGCAACCGTTCCCAAGCTCCTCTCGGCCTTTTTTTTTTAAAATCCAGGATGCAAATTCCTCCCCTGTCAGCAAATCGACTGTCAAATTATTTTCTTGCAAAAGGAGAAAGGCGGGGTGGGGTGGGGGGGGAGCAGGAGCAAAAACGGGGGGGAGGGCGGGGGAAGGGAGGGAGAGGGACCGAGGAGGGGAGAGATATCCCTCCGCAGAGCTGGGTCTGGCCGCGGGCGGGGAAGCAGGAAGTAAGGTGTCCAGCGCCGCGGCCGGCTGGTCCTCCGCCGCGGCCCCCGCCCGCGTCCCCTGTCCCCCGGGGCGCAGCGCTCCGGCGGGCTCCGGCCGCCCGGCGCATTGTTCGCAGCCTTCGCGGCGGTGCGCTGCCGACTTTATTTGTGCGCTTTGGGTGTGCGTGAGGTTGCACCTTTTGTAGGCTGGCGGGTCTCCGGACCAGCATGGGACAGAGAACACGGGCCCAGTTGCGGCCCTGCGCCAGCGGGACCTGTCAGCCCCGAGGTGCAGCGAACTCTCCGGCTTGGCCAGAAAATCGAGGCCGGGGAGAAGGCAGCGTGGCCGGGAAGCTGCCGCCTTAAACCCGGACCAGTGCAGGATTGCTTCCTGCACAGCCGTCCCGGTTATTGTAACGCGCTTTGCGGGCTAACCACTGGGAGTTGAGAGGGGGTTTGTTTATTTTTCTAAGGGTCTGCAAAGATGCCGAGGTCCAGGCGGGCTGCGAGGAGAAGGTCCGCGCCTACGCCCACCGCACCCTGGCCTCGGTGGGGCTGGGAGAGGGCTGGGGCTCCGGGGAAGGGGCTGGAGTTCGCGAAGCGCGCGGCTCCATCCCTCCGCCCCGATGGGGGCGGGGAAGGGGTGCAGTAGACCGCGCTGGAAGGGCAGCTCTCTGGGGAGGGGTCTCCACCGCCGCGGCGGGCGCTGCACGCCGGGGAGGGAGGTTGCCTAGGAGAGGGGCCGGGCGGCGGAGGGGAGGGGAGGAGAGGGGGCGCGGGTGCTGCCGCGGCGCGCGCTCGCCCCTCCTCGCGCGCCATGACTGTGGAACGTGGTGCCTGGGAGGAGGGACGGCCGCCGGGGGCCGCCCGGGGCTGCTCAGCATTGGTGCGGAAACCCGAGCCCAGAGTCGCTCCCTAGCGCTGTCTCCTCCTCCTCCTCTGCGGGGGAAACCGCTGCACCCAAACCGAGAGCAGCTGCGAGCAGGGGGCAGGGCGCGGGCTGAAAGGCGAGCCAAAGGTTCAAACCTCGGCGGCGCGGGCGCGGGCGGGGGCGGGGAGCGACAACAGGATGGCCCCCAGGTCCCACGAAGGCGTGGCAGTGGTCGGTCCAGGTGCCAGGGAACCTGGCTTGAGACCTCTGTATTTCCAAGCTGCTTTCCTGGTCCGAGGAAACGTGAACCAAAAGTAGTTCAGCTAAACAGATCACCTCGAGCCAGGTTCGAGGCATCTGTCTGTGAAGGGCAAGACAGTATTTTTTGCACGACAGAAAGTTACACCATCCATTTTTTTTCGGTGGGGAAAATCGTTGCACCTCTTCTCCTAAAATCTCTCTCAGGAAGAATGACCTCCCGCTACCCAGACCTTCGCCAGTGTCCCCCACTCCACCCCCACTCGGGCGCTGGGTGTGGACTGTGCGGAGGGAGGCTATATGGGAGCTTAAAGCATGAGGTCATGGGCGGAGGAGCCTGCTGCCAAAAGCACCCGAGGTTTTTGTGTTTTCTGAGGGGTAACGGTTCTCCATCTACAGCCCTGGGAAGTCCTCCCGCCTACCCTACCAATTCTGGGGCACGTGGACCAGAGAGTCCCTGAAAGAGGACGGGACCTGGGCTATTTCGCTTAATGAGCCTTTGGCGCGTGCCCAGCCCTTTATGGAGCCCTTACACATAAGCAAAGAGAGCCGAGGGACAGCGCACAGTGTTGCGGCGACTGAGAGAGGCTTCAGATGCTCGGTGTCTCCCGCCCTCTTTCCTCAGTCCGCGGTCATCTTCCAAGTGGGCTGCTTTCTGCGATAGCTTGCCTTCCCCCTCTGACCCATTCCTCCCAAGCGACTAGAGGGGGGTCTTCCTAAAACTCCTAATGACATTCTTTTAAAGCCTTCAAAACCCTCCTTCATTGCTCTTAGAATAAAGCCAAGTTCTGATTTCGCCTCTACAGACCTCTCCACCCGCCCAGCTCTTTCTCGGAGATTGTAAGCCCCGTCGAGCTTTCTTTGTTCAAGGGGTGGGGGAGGGGGCGCCTAACCTTTCCCCTTCTACCTCTTCTTACTAACTCCTGGACCTTCAAGGTTTGCCTCAGCCGTCACTTCAAGATGCCTTCCTGAGGGTACACCCTGATCTCTAACTACCTCAGGGGAAAAGACCCACCCGAGGTCCCCTGGCAGCAGCGCTGTGGCCAGAGTTGGCCCCAGTGGCGGCCTTTTTCCAAGCGGAGGAGGAACAGCCAAGCTAAGCTTGACCACGATCACCGCCCAGGGACCTGAGCGGGAGCTGACTGGGACAAAACCTCAAAACACCCTCGAGAGACCTGAAAAAACTGCGCACCGCCCAGAAAACTCAGCCCCTCCACCTCCCACCCGGCACACACACACCCTTTTAATCTAAAACTCCTCCCCGGGACAGATAAGGAACCTAGTTGGAGAGTAAGTTAATTGCCCCAGGTCAATGTGGAAATTCACAGCCTGTCTTTCCAGCTCCTAAACCAGAAGCTGCAGAGAAGAAAGGACTTCAGAGTTGGGATTTGCTGCTACACAGCCAAGGACGCTTTTGTCATCTCCAAAGGAGCCCCTACACCCTACCCGCTTCTTCCACTCTGTTCATTGCCAACAGAGATGGTAATGCCGGATGGTTAGCTGCGCGGCTCTGACCTTGGGCAAGTTACTCAACTACTTGGTTCAGTTTCTTTGCTTGTAAAATGGGAACGATAGCATTAATACCTACAGTACAGTGTTATTGTGACGTTTAAATGAGTTGATTTATGTAAGGCCTTAGAACAGAGTCCAAGCAAGTTATTAATTATTTGTGAAGAGGGTTGTGTACCTTCCCTCCACCTTCATGAGGGCTCTCAAAAATCAGATCCCCCAGTGCCTTAGCTGATTGAAGTATCAAAAAATATCTATGGTGACTCACACCTGTAATCTCAGTTTGGGAGGATGCGACAGGCGGATTGCTTGAGCTCAGGAGTTTGAGACCATGCTGGGCAATGTGGAGAGACCCTGTCTCTACAAAAAATAAAAAATTAGCCAGGCATAGTGGTGCATGCCTGTAGTCCCAGCTACTGGGGAGGGTAAGGCAGGAGGACAGCTTGAGCCCAGTAGGTTGAGGCTGCAGTGAGCAGAGATCACACCACTGCACTCCAGCCTGGGTGACAGAGCAAGACTCTGTCTCCAAAATAGATAGATAGACAGATAGATAGATAGCCTAAAGGACTGGAAAAGCATCGGCAAATGCACAGACAATACATCCCTGATTTTACCAATAGACTTGACTCCCAACAATGCATACTCTGGAAGGCAATCCACAGGATGAATAAACCAAGCCCATGAGCACTGGGTCTGGACTCTTAGAATCAGGGTCAGAAGGAGGATGACTGAAATTAAAATATTAACTTGGATCTTCGAAGTCAGAGTCAGGCTGAAAAAGTCCCAATCTTAGTTCAAAACCTGTCCTGCATGACTGAAGCCCTCCTAAGGCTGCACAAAATATAATGGAATTATTATTATTATCATTAGACCCTAGTCTTAACCATTCTCAGCACTTACCCCCATAGCAAAAGACCATTTTTTAATGTAATTTATTTTTTTGGAATAGGTTGAATGCATTCACATGGTTCCAAATTCAAATAAACAGCAAGAAGTCCCCCTCCCACCCTGTCTGCCACCCACTTGCTTTTCCTTCTATGGAGGCAACCTGGGTTAGTGGTCAGTCAGAAGACAAGTTTAACTGTTTTCCAGCTGAGGCCTCGTGAGAACTCGTCCGACACTAGTTTGAATCTTTATGTCCAGAACTCCTTTCTCCAATCCAGGTAGAGCCACTCCCCTGTCCTGTCCCCATTCCCACCCTTCCCCACTTCAGTCTCAATCCTGAGCAGGCTTTATTAACAATGATGAGCCACCACTTCCTTGAGCTACTAACAAAAGCAAATGATTAAACACTGTGGTTCTTTCTCCTCCTCTACGTTAATTGCTAACATTTATCGAGTACTTTCCATGTGCTACGAACTGTGCTAAATACCAGACATGCATACTCTTATCATAATCTTCATCATTTTTACAGATGCAGACAGAAATGAAAGTTCAGAGAGATTATGTAATTTGTACCAATTTGCATCCAGGCCAACCTGAACCCAAACCCTATCTCTTTTTTTTTTCTTTTTCTTTCTTTCTTTTTGTTTTTTAAACAGGGTCTCACTCTTGTAACCCAGGATGGTGTGCAGTGGCACAATCTATGGGGACAACTAGGGTTAGCAGTCAGCTCACCGCGGCTTCGACCTCCCAGGCTCAAGTGATCCTCCCACCTCAGTCTCCCCAGTACTGCAACTATAGGTGTACGCCACTACGCCCAGCTAATTTTTGTATTTTTTTTTGTGGAGACGGGGTTCCACCATGTTACCCAGACTGGTTTCAAACTCCTGGACTCAAGTGATCTGCCTGCCTCGGCCTCGAGAAGTGCTGGGGTTACAGAGATGAGCCACCACGCCCAGATCCTCTCTCTTAAATAATGGCCCTTTTGCCTCTCTGTAACAAGAAAAATTCTGGTAGCCTGCATCAGAAGGAGGGGTATGGAAGCTTTGGAGTTAAGCAAATTTAATTCAAATTCTGTGTCTGGCACCTGCCAGCAGTGAGACCTTAGTAAGGTTTCTTAACCTCTCTGAGCTGGGACCATACCTTCTGCACTGGTTTAATATGAAGGTTAAATATATGTAAATAAATGACTTCCAAAATGCCTAGTAACAACTAAATGCAGTATTTAGATCTTGTGTGGATTTTATTTGAATAAACAAATTAAATATTTTTTTAAAAGACATTTTTGAGACAAAGCAAACGTGGACTCAGAGATTAAGATTTTTGAGACGAAGCAAAAAAATTAAGATTTTGAGACAAAGCAAACGTGGGTCAGATATTAA